ATAAACGGAAGCAAAAGAGTTAGAAAAAATGCCATGTATGTAAATACATATGTATGTTTTTAAAATATCCAATAATATACTATAACTATAAATATAATGATAAAAATCATTCTTATACTTTTGTGTTTCACTGAAAGTAAGAAAAGCAACATTTTTCAATAACTAAAATTTAATTTATTTCTACATGCACACTTAATGAAAATAAAATCAGACTTCAGATTAAAAACATGTGTGCGTATGTACATATTGCTTATTTACTTTAGTATTGTCATAACTCAAAAATCCAAAAAACTCGAAACAGCCACGAAATTTTTACACAGCACGAAAGAAGAGGTAGCGGTCATTGCTTAAGTCGATTTTTGATAATGCTTTTGTATTATGACACTGTTGAAGTAAATGAGTGAAATGTATGTACATGATGCATTCAATGCTAAACGAAAAAACCGTAGATTGAGAGTTAGGGTTGACACCGGTAAGCAATAATCAATAATTTGGAAATCCCAAATTCTTACATTTTGTTTGCCTGCTTCATATTCTTCATATATCACCCGGTCTTAACGTACCTGTTAAGCTGACCCTTTAGTAGCTTAAAAGTGCTTTTATATTTGTGAACTTGCATAAACGCAGTATACAATGACATTCTGGCATTGCGCATATATGTATGTACATTTAATACATATGTGTGTACGAAATTGGCGAATACTAAAAAAGGTTTATGTAAAAATGGGCAAGTGGAAAAAAACTGAAACAAGCTGTTGTTTTTTTTTAACCCTAGAAGTCCGATCTACTTGAAAGTTACGTAAAGCCCAAACATACGTCTTAGGCACGGTGCACATTAGTGCGATACGATATGCGATACGATACGCGATCATGGTTGCCACAATTGGTAACTTTCTACCAAAATTGGTAACTTTTAAGCGGTTTGGTAACTTGGTAACTTTTATTTCATTTCGGTAACTTTTGCAACCAAACATCTGTTACTAGAAAGAAATTAATTATGTTTTTCATGTGCGTGATTATAAAAACCCTTCGAGTTTCAGTGGCAGCACTACTGACACTTCTACAAAATTACTTCGATAAAATTAGAGTCATCTTATATTCGAATACTGGAAATATTTGAATTGCAGTGGCAGCACTATGGGCTACACTTCTAAAACAACTATCGAATTTTTGCGATCTCACATTTTAATACTGGAAATACTGTTTGCGACAGTAGTTCAGTAAAAATTGTATAAAAATTCGACAATCTGGCAATTTTCCGGCACACAAAAAAAAATGTCGCGTGCTTTTTACCAGACCCACCTACCGAATGTATTTCGACCCACTGGATCCGAATCTGAGGTCCGTTTGACACGTACAGTACATACCGAAAATAAATAATATAAAAAAAAACTTTTTAATATACAACGCTTTTATAAATGGACTAAAAAGTAGAAAATAATATTTCTCAGTCCCATAGAATTTGTTTTGATAACTTTTGATTTTGAAATTTTAGCAAAAGTCATTATAAACAATCTATGAAATTGAAAATGAAAAACGTGGAGCGCATGCAATACAAAGCATTCGATTTAATTGGCAATAGTCAAACTACATAACGAACACCTAAAATTTCTACAGCGAAAGTAGAACTTTGAAATCGATTTTAAGCGGTCGTTATTCATATACCCACATACATACATATATTACTTTTCATATCAATTCAAGTGTATTACGTGCGCCCCACGCTTTTCATTTTCAATTTCATAGATTGTTTATAATGACTTTTGCTAAAATTTCAAAATCAAAAGTTATCAAAACAAATTCTATGGGACTGAGAAATATTATTTTCTACGTTTTAGTCCATTTATAAAAGCGTTGTATATTAAAAAGTTTTTTTTATATTATTTATTTTCTACTTTTTAGTCCTGTCTGAATAAAATTTTGCAATAGATATTAAAATAATTCAACGATATTAATAGAAAGGTGCACACACATGCATTTACATATGTATGTACATACAAACGAGCACCAATTAATTTTATTTAAAGAAATGGCGTGTTGTCTATTTCCGCTGTAGCAAACGTAGTACATAGGGCGACATCTAGATGTCATCAACCTCGCCCTATTCACTACAGATGTCGCCCTATGCACTATGCTTTTTTATAGGAACTTTTCAAAGCAAAGCTTTATGGTGTCGGACACACAACATTGAAAGTTTCTGGATCCACAACATTGAAAGTTTCTGGACACACAACATTGCAAGTTGATAAAAGCGTTGTAAAAAAGCAAAAAATTAGCAATTTTCGCAATTCACTCGAAATTTTATACGCGTCAAAAGGACGTTTAAAAGCACCCGCAACTTTTTTTTTGTGGGCCGGTGCTATTAATAATAATAGTAATCCCAACGGTTTTTACCTCCCTCCCATTCCCGCCCATCCTCACGAGGGGCGCAGTCCGCATGACGTACGGAACCAGTATTTATTTTCAATTTTTGCGCCGAGTCACGTTAGGAAGGTGTTTGTTAAGTGTCGAGATCTAAAACTGTTCAGCTACAAAACTAAATACATCAGCCGTTTTTATGTCTTTATTTTAATAACTCATTTATTGAGAGAGGACAGTATCGATTTCTTCTTGCTGAAAAGCAGATCTGATATATCAAACGTGCTGGAATTAGAGTAAAAATCCTGGCATAAGCAACGGAGTGGGTCGTGCAATTCAAAATTAGTTTTACAAGCTTTCAGAAATA